TGTGTGGCTTTGTCCGTGACGCATTTCCATACTTTTGGTGCGTTCCCACTTGTGCACATATTTCTTTTTGCATAAATAATTGTAAACAAATATGCATAAATCTCTTTTTTTTTTTTTTTGTTTTGGGAGGGGGGAGGTTGCGACTGGACGAAGGGACATTTGTGTACGTGAACAAATAGGCAGGAATCAACGAGGCAAAATTTTAGAAGAGGAGGAAAAAGGGTTTTGAGCATAAAATACACACATACTTGTATATATACATATATAAATATATATTTATATGGGAGAAAAGAAAAGGTGAAAGAGCACCTCCTTTATTTTGAAATTTATTATTGCTGCCGTAGTGAACAACAACGACCGGTAGAAGAAAAAGAAAAATTTAAGAAAAAAAAAACCGTGAATATTACTACTACTGATAATAATAATAATAATAAGAATAAGAATAATACAAAAAGGGAAAAGGGGAAAAAGAGGGGAATGACATCGGGAGATCCTGCGGCTTTTATTCAGCTGCAAGAGCAGATTGTAACAGTGAAACAGGTGTTCAGCAGTGCTCTGGCGAAGGAACTTAACCTCGTTGAGGTTCAGGCCCCACTTCTCGCGTGTTGTGGCGACGGAACACAGGATAATCTTTCCGGTACCGAAAAGGCTGTGCAGGTGCATGTAAAAGGAATTCCAGACTCAAAATTTGAGGTGGTGCACTCACTTGCCAAATGGAAGCGACAAACACTTGGGGACCACAAGTTTCCTGTTGGCCAGGGAATTTATGTCCACATGAAAGCGCTTCGCGTGGAAGAAGAGCTTGACACGACACATTCCGTCTTTGTGGATCAATGGGACTGGGAATTGGTGATGCCACCGCAAGAGCGTAATTTAACATTTTTGAAGAACACAGTTCAGCGTCTTTACGCGGCGATTCGCCAGACGGAAGAGGCTATTTGTTCCAAATACAATTTGGACCGTGTGCTTCCAGCCAACATTCAGTTCTTACACGCCGAGCATCTTTTGAAGATGTACCCTGAAATGAATATGAAGGAACGTGAACGCGCCATTGTGAAAAAGTACGGTGCTGTTTTTCTTATTGGCATCGGTGGCAATCTGACCAGCGGTGAACCGCACGATCTACGAGCACCCGACTATGATGACTGGTCTTCACCTGTTTCTGCGGCAGATATCACATTCCCTTGTGGGGATCCAACAATGAATTCTCTGGCCTCACTTCCTGGACTCAATGGTGACATCCTTGTGTACAACCCTGTCCTTGATGACGTACTGGAGCTGAGCAGCATGGGGATTCGCGTGGATGCTGAAACACTTCGACGCCAGCTTACCCTGTTGTCCAACGAGGACCGTCTCGGGTACGTGTGGCACAAGCGGCTGCTTGCCGGTGAATTCCCGCAGACTATTGGAGGCGGTATTGGTCAGAGTCGTCTGCTGATGCTGTTGCTTAAAAAGAAGCATATTGGGGAGGTGCAGTGCAGTGTGTGGCCGAAGGAAATGCGCCAGAATTATCCCTTGCTGTGATGTTTATAGGCATTACAGTATTCTTTTTTTTTTTTTCTGTGTGTGTCCGTGTGTGTGTTTGTACGTTTTCTCGTTGGTTGTACGTTTTTTTTTTTTATATATATATAGGAGCTTGTGAAGAGAATGATCGTGGGAGAGCTGGCCAACCTACCTAATGTATGTGCGCCCTGATAAATGATTGCATTCTTGATGATACTTCTCTACCGTATGAATCTTTTGGGAAGAACGCGACTTTGTAGGGGCGGGGAACCGATAGAGGCCGGATAATATTTTAAATTTTATTTTGCCATCCCACCCTAACCCCCTTTGATTCCCACCACGCGGCGGTGTCTTGTGGTTGGAGGACCCCAAAGTCTGCCACTTCGTAAGTAATAATATTTCAAATCCCAACTGAGGACAAAGGACCATGCTGGTGGTCCACAGAATTCTATATATTGAATGAGAATAAAACATTGAAGCAATTAACTAAAGAACCTTTTTTCCTAACTTGTTTGGTTTCCATATATATAACTTCAGGATCCGGCCAGCTGCCCGGAAGATTATTCTATTATATATATATTATTATTCATCCCTTTTTTCATCTTTTTTTTCTCTCTCTTTTTTTTTTTTTTTTTGTTGTTGTTGGGGAGCGAAGCCAAAACAAAAATAATAAATAATTCTACTTATTCCTTTATTTATCATTTAAGATTTTATTTTCCTTCCTGATCTCTTTGTTTTTTTGCTGTTTTTTTTTTTTTTTCTCTGTGCGCATTCACGTATCTATCCATCTATCTTTATATATATTTGCCTCTCTATCTCTCTCTCTCTGTGTGTGTGTGTGTGTGCATGCATGTATGCATGTGCTTCTTTCACCAGGTGATGGTTTACACCGCCTTTTTATTTTTATTTTTTGTCGATCGCATTTTGTGGGCGAGGAACTTTGTTAATATTTATGAGACCATTTTTTACTGCGGCAGGTGAAGAAGGGCAGGAAAAAAAGGGGGAGGAGGTAACAGTTATACATGAATTGCCAAGTGACACTCCCGCTGCATGCATGGCGGTGGATATTATGAAGCTTGGTCACATGAATACCATTAAACCTCGTCTTCTTTTGATCCACGAAGATGGCCTTTTGTTTCTATCGACTTCACCACCACCATGTGAACATGATGAAGGGGTATCGAAGGTGGATGGCAGGAGTTCTTTTTTAGATTACAGGGTAAGGCGCTTTATTCCTCTGTGTGCGATTGATGCGCTTACTCTATATGCTCGTGGCACGGTGCTGCGTATCCAAGTAATGCGTGAGCATGATGTCGTTATTTGGAGGAGTGAAAAAAACACCATTTGTCGGGAATTAAAGAATGCGGGCCTGGGGATATTGACGGTTGCCAATCGTATTATTGAGTTGTATGCATCAGTCTCCTTGTCGTCACTTGTCTTGCACTCTGTGGAGGACTTGACCCTTCCTACTTCCCTGCAGTTGTCTAAAAATGATATTGGGCGTATGTTTTTACTTGCTGAAAGTTACGCTCCTTTGCGAACACGTTTTGTTCGGCGTCACCGCACAGCGAGGATTACGAAGATTGTAGCGTGTGAACACCGCAAGGAATGTGACGGAACTGAATGCATTGATCTGCGTCGGTGTGCAGAGATGTGGGGTGGCGGTGGTGGTGATGAGGATGGCTTAGGTGTTGAGGTGGGCGTGGTGGTAAAACTTTTCTCCTGGAACGCAGAGAAAGTGACACGATCTTTTTGTACTATCACATGTAGAGGGCAGTCACCGCATTCCGATGCGTTGCTGTCGCTTGTTCAGGATTATCCTGTTGTTGTTATGATGGAGAAGGTACGAATGGTCTCCATGGCAACCTACATCGTCTCTCGGTGGCCACCGACGGACGATGTTGTGAAGATGCGTCGCTCAAAACACGACATGGAGGACCAGAAGGACATTTTGGACGCGCGGCATGATGTTGTGTACGATACAACACCCATTGCTGGCGCACGGAGTCTTCTTCTTACGAAACACGATGTGGTTCTGTTTAATGACGAGGCTGGTGAGGCTCAAAGGAGCGGGGCTCTTGTTTACTCCCTGTACAGCTTGGCCAGGATGGGCGTGGAGTTGCCCTGCCACGGCGAGGATGCGGGGGGTGGCAAATTAACGATGATTTTTGAGGGGCGTGCGGGAGGTCAAGACATGCCGACAAGGGCGACGACCCTGCCAGTGGGGGAGAAGGAAGAAGAAGAGGAGGAGGAGGAAGGTGAGAGAATCCAGCAGACGACGATTGTCATGGAGTTTCCCACTCCTCCTTCACGTGTCGACAGGTGTGAGGGGGACTACCGGGAGCAATTATGTACCGCCGGCATGATTGCGAATGCCATTTTAGTTTTGTTGGGGTGTGATGGGATTGACGTTCCCGTCCTGGTGCGATCCCCTTCTTCTTCTTCTTCCTTTGAGACGCTTTTCTCATTGGCGGAGACCGAGGAGGATGAGGGTGATGAAGACACGGTTCGTGTTCTGGAAAAGAAACACAGGAGATTGTTTCCGGATTTTGTACGGGAGCCACGAGACTATCGAAGGCCTGTGGGCGTCATTCCACGGCGATTCGCATCCGACAAAACACTGTTAGCGCGACAGGTGCTGCGTCTCACCGCCAGGCGAGTCTGGAAAACGTGCCTTCTGGTTGTGACACCCAACATACTTTTTGTGTGTGACACGACGACTCTTGTGCGTCGCCGCGTTTTGTTTTCAACGCTTATGGGGATGAAACTACTGTTGCATCATAGTGAGGGCCCGGTGCTGTTGATGTGCATCTACGGCGAACACGACCTTGTTTTGAAGCAGCACTCTACCACACCGTCGTGGCTGCCACTCAACACGGTGGCAGATGTCATTGTGGGAGAACATCCAATGATTTTTCTTGACGAGGTTAGTCTTGCAGGCGCAAGGGGAAAGTTGAAGAATCTTTTGAGGCGTCGCCTTTTAAGGCCTCCAAGACGGTGTGCATCCGTTCCAAAGCATAAAATGTGGTTTCATGCGTATTTAAGTAATGCCTCTATGGAAGTGTTTTATGACGCATTGAGGCAAGAGAGGAAGAGGATGCATCCAAAGGAGGGCGCACAGCAAATAGATATATCGTTGCCATTGATCTCTTCTTGTGAGAGAATCAGTGAGGGGTCGATAAGTGACCCGCGAGTCTTGCATTTGATTGAGAAGTTAATGAAAGAGAGTCTGGTGGGTCTGTGGCGAGGCACCATTTTCGTTAATGTCAAATTAAAGGAGGAGCAAGAAGGGGTGCATCCAACACAGCATCAAAGACGCATGGAACTGGATGAGGAGGCCGATTATCAAAATGGTGTCATGTCGTTTACCCGGGAACTTCAGCCTCGATTACTCACCCCGGTGTGCATGGATATGACTGAGAACAGTGTTTTACATGTTTGTGACGGTGTGGTGTGCGAAGGTCAAGCGCAAATGATTTCCACGACTACAAGCGGTGAGGGTGAGCTACGCGGGGTTCAGGCAACTCTTCGCATGCAAGAGAAACAACCGTACAACACAGTAGCCGTGGAGCAGGATGGCATTCATGCATTATTCGGGTACCTGCCAAATAACAACTTGGGCTGTTTTGCACGCACTGAGCTTTTGAACGCGGGGTTGTTTCCCTCTGGTGTGGACTTTCTTGCTACTGAGCAGAGGGATATTTTGGTTTCGGGGAGGGGAACCGCAATGAATAAGAAATGCCAGTCTTTCTCGCTTCTTCCGTTTCACCTGCGGTCGCGATTCTTGTCTTTGGAGGATTTAACCCCCATGACGACCGCGCCAGGAAAGTTTATTTCCTCCTCTCCATCAACGCCTTTACTTGTCCCATACAGAATAGCGGATGATGTGGCGCTCTGGGCGCATGAAGTGCCCAATCCTTTGTTCTTGATGAACATTGGGCCCACATGGACGATGGTTCGTTTTCAGTGCAATGATGATGCAATGATTTGTGTAGGGAACGCAGCATTTGTACGCCACGTCCATCGCACAATGCGTTCGGTGACATTTTATCATACGGAAGACGAACGCAATACCGTTACTTGCTTTTTTTACCCTGTCAATCAAAATGGCAACGCATCGTGGTCAGAGGACAAAAACAATCCTGCGCCGTGTTGGGGCAAGACGACCCATGTACGTCGTTTATTGCAAGATGTCCTTTTGGTGCCATTTTCTTCATTTTTATTGCAAGATGCTTCTCGTGGGATTTCTCAGTATGGAGCCATTCGGCTTCTAAATGACACGGTGTTCTGTCGTGTGGGTCGATATCGGTGGTTTGAGATTCCTCTCCCATTGCTCATAAAAGACTGGGGTGGGGGGAGTGGGATTGAGAAAATGACACGATTCTGTCAGTGTAGCTGTTGAACGTGTAACTTCCATCCGTGTTACCGTGTGATGGCAAATGAGGCGGCAGTTGAACTGCGATTATTATGCCGTATCTCTTCTTTTTCTTTTTCTTTTTCTTTTTTTTGTTACACATGCCTCCTTTCTTCTCTTTTCTTTTCTTTTCTTTTTATTTTTATTTTTATTTCTCTTCCTTCAACTTTTGTACGTCCCAATTTTTTTTTTTTTTTTTTTCTGTTTCTTTTTTACCTGTCTTATGAATTCTTTGGTTGGCCACAATTGAAGGAATTAAGGAATCAATAACGTCTAGACGATTTTTAATTATTTTTATTTTTATTTTTACCGTCCGCCTTACATATAACCCTCTCCTTTTTTTTTTTTTTTTTTTTTTTTTTTTGATTTCCCCGCCTCGCGGTGGGGGGTCCATGTGGCTGGAAGACCCTTCCCAAAGTCTGCCATTTCGTACGTCATAATGTTTCTACTCCCAACAAAAGTGCAACATATCACGATGGTGACAATTTGAACGTATATATGCATATATACATATATATGTGTGTGTACTTGGAGCAAACATTGAGGATCTGGTGAACCCACTTTCCTTAAATGAACCCCCTTTTCCCCTTTTTGTTTGATTTCTATAGATACGTTAAGGATTTTGCCAGCGATTTAAACAAATATTTGAAGTTATATCAATGACGACCGTTTACGACTTACAGGTGAACGCAGTCGATGGAAAGCCGTATGATCTCTCGCAGCACAAGGGACA